ATATGATTTTCTATCACCCATTTCACTTAAAGGAGGTTTCTATCAACAAGAGCATAGAGTTTCCTTTATAACCTAGTGTCGTAAACTCTACATATTAGAGCTTTTACAGCCACAAACTTTAACAATCCGTCAATTTTTATCATTTCTTTATGAAAGTGAGAACAATAAACTTAGATACTTTCACTTTCTTTCGAGTGATGACAAACAAATCAGTATAGTTTTTCTCGATTAGGATGCTAGTAGAAAAATAGATGATAAGCTTAGAGCATAGACCTTTGAAGTTAAGTACAACTTTAAGATTTAAGTTATTCTCTTACTTTTTGTTACTCTCGTAAAAGTAGTAGAGAATATCTTACTTATGGTGTTTGTACTTGTGAGCACTAACTTAAAAGTGTCTCTAACATTTTGTACTTCCTTTCGTGAGTTAGTGATGCTATCATAGGTTATTCATCTTTATGGAGATGAACTCTCTTGAGAGTTTAGTGTTCAAAATATAAAGAGTAAGTGGAGAAGTTTAAACCCTATGATCGTAATCAATCGATACTAAATGGCTAAATATTACAAACTTCTTACCCTCTTATGGACGTTTAGGATTAGGGCTCATTGAGGTTGTTTGAGAATACAAGCCTTCTTTATGGTGTTGGTCATAGAAATGCTCTTGACACTCGCTTTTTCTCCCCTTCCCCAACTAGAGCCTTGACTCATGCGTTGTTTCTCCCGGTTGTGAGAATGATTCTTTTAAAGTTAAAGAAAGTAATGGTCTTCTCTTCTTTCATCATCTCCTTCATCTTAACTTTTTATCCCATTCTCGAAAAGCAGCTATCTATGTACATTCCAAAGAGGTGTTGGTTAAGGAATATTATCCATGAGTGGAGGATCAACATATTGTACTACTAAAGCAAATGACATTGATTGAGATGAGATAATTTGTATCCGCTCTTATGTGACCAAAAAGCATCTATCAACTTATTCACTTGTTTCTATAAATGGAGGAGGTATGTTGGTTGACCACTCATGTTGGCGAAGTCCATCATAATTCTTAAATGTAAAGTTTCTTGATTTTTAGCTATAAAAGAGATTAAAGATTGAGGTGTATGAATTAGGAATTGGCTTTTAGCTTAAGTTACCCGTAGACGACAACATTAATGAGATTGTTGAACCTTTAAAGATAATGTAGCTCTTTAATGACTATTGATAGGTGACAATGCTTATTGATGGGTAATGATCGTGTTGGATGAAATACTTATGAAATAAAGGCCTCTAGTTGAGTGAAGGATCCTCTAACGATTAAGTTAATGTAAGGAGAAGGGAGATTAGCCAAAGAAGGCTATAATGTCAACATAAGGAATAAGGTGAACATTTGTAGCAAGAGAGAGATTCGAAACTCTTAACCTTAAGTCTCTTAGACGTTTATATAGCCAAAAGGCTTGTCAAGTTGTATGGGAAAATGGGTAAAATAATCTATTCTTTTGTTACCAACAACCTTTGATATGAGCTCGAGGGTTATGCATTCTTGATATTTATAGATCATTATTAGAAGAATGTGATGATGTCATTCTTAGCATTAGTTAGATAAAAATAATCTCAAAGCATGCCTTTATTTATTAAATGTATTTTTTTTTATTAGTGGAAGTTGATTTGATTCTCAGATTATTTCACTCATTGGACGTTCCCTGGCGGTGCAGATGCTCCCAGTTGTCAAGGTTCTGACTATGGTTCGTTCCTCAATCTTTTACACCCATTTTGCTAATGATAGAGGCTCGCGAATTTCGTAAAATGGCATGTGTCATATGGCTATATCAAATAGTATTTTATCAACCTGGTTTTGTGGATCTCAAGCTGAACTGGGTCGTTAAGTTCTTATCGAACTTTGAACTGATTATTTTATGATCACACCCATTTTGCTTGACCTTCTGTTGCAAGTTTTATTTTACTAATTATGCGTTGGGATGCTAAAGTGTCACATGCAATTCTGAGTCTCTTTTTAGCTAACCTTATTGCAATTTTGATAGGCTTATGTGTTTGTTTCTGCTCACTCTCTACAGAAAGATGACAAGTAACCAAATAGCTGACGATCCTCTGAAAAAAGAATCATAGTCCGAGCTGTGTCACATGGTCCTGCCGTCTGCTTTACAAAAAAATAAAAAATAAAAAATAAGGTTTATCATGTCGTATTCCTCCTTAAATTACTACAACTCTGTAACCTTCGGCAAAACGTGATGCAAGTGAAGGTCTGACCCAAATCAAAGCTTGGTGAGAGGTTCGAGCCAAACTGATTAAACAACACATCCTCCAAGAAACAAACTACAAGCACATTTCAGAAGTCAAAATAGTTCGCCAATTGAACTCTTTCTATTGCCAATTTCTTAATGATCGATTGTTAATTGAACTCGGGAATCGGGACTTAGAAGTTCAGAATCAAATCCGTAAATCCAGATTGAAGATTTGTGACATATGGGGAAATTAAGATTACTGTGTTATAAAGTTTGAAGGAGTCTAAAATTTCAAAAAAAAAAAAAGAATAAAATCCTACTCGCCCATCACCAGCAAATCTATACAAGCATGATAAATTATTCAGCCTGATAAATGATTCCTTTAACAACTTGGCGTTCTTATTAGTCCTACTTAGAAAGAAAAGGGAATGGCATAAATTCCAACTCTCTTTTGTTCCCAGCCCTTCGTATATGGCTTTTGTGTCAGGTTGGCTTGAAATTGAAGATTTTACATATATTCAAAACATTTCCTCTAGCTTTGAGAGAACAAGACTGCTTTCTCTTCTCATCAAGTTTGGGGAAAGATGAACTCTAATACTTCAGCAACTTCCATCACTAAGAGGTAAATGACTCCTCACACTCGATGTCCATTGATTTGTACATTTACGTAGTCCCACGTCTCTAATCATAATCATAATTATAGAAAGAAAATATACCTGGTTGCAGTTTCACATTCCAAAGCGACTTTCTAAAACAAGGAGCATGGTTAATTGCAGGCTTGAAGGCAAGGTGGCATTGATAACCGGTGGCGCTAGTGGTATAGGAGCGTGTACCGCAAGACTATTTATCCAACACGGTGCCCAAGTTCTCATTGCTGACATTCAAGATGACCTTGGGCACTCCTTCTGCCAAGAATTTGGCTCCCAAGAAACCATCTCTTATGTCCATTGCGATGTAACCTGTGATTCTGATGTTCAAAACGCAGTGGATACAGCTGTTTCCAAGTATGGAAAGCTCGACATCATGTTCAACAATGCTGGAATTCCAGGTGACAGAAAATCAGGTATTCTAACTTGTGATAATGAAAACTTTAAGAGGGTCCTTGATGTCAATGTCTACGGTGGATTCTTGGGTGCCAAACATGCCGCCAGGGTAATGATTCCAGAAAAGAAAGGGTGTATCCTCTTCACCTCAAGTGTGGCTTCAGTATTGTATGGTGAATTGGCACATGCATACACAGCATCTAAGAATGCGATTGTTGGGTTGGCCAAGAACTTAAGCGTGGAGTTAGGGCAACATGGAATAAGAGTAAATAGTATTTCACCCTATGCAGTTGCAACCCCGTTGCTTACTGATGCTTTGAGGTTGACAAAGGAGGCTGCTGAGGAATTGGTCGCATCGGCAGCAACCTTAAAAGATGCGGTATTGGAGCCAGAAGATGTTGCACAGGCAGCCTTATATCTAGCTAGTGAAGAGTCCAAGTATGTTAGTGGGGTTAACTTGGTCATTGACGGAGGCTATAATCTCACCAACCCCTCATTTTCAATTGCATTAAAAAGCTATTTTTCTAAATTTCAATAGCAATGGGTCTCAATATCTACAACTTTTTCTTCTTCTTCTTCTTCTCTTCTTAAAAAAAAAAATGTGGTACTTCACATTGTACTTCTCTTTCACTGATATAAAGTAAAGCTGATATATTAAGGGAAAACAAATAAAAAACATTGCTGCGACTACTTTTGATATTACTGCCGATAACTTGAATTCTGTTGCGGTTCCAATTGGCAAAATGTTATCCTAAAAAAACACTTCACACAAACGATTATGTGCAAGTTATCAACCCCAGCAGCTAACATGCATGGCTGACTACATTAGATTAAAACTCAGACCAAAAATATAGTGTGATTGTCTGGTATAGTCTCCAATAGATGATAGCTTTTCTCTTATATGTCACCGCTGTTCAAGTGAACGAGAATGCTAAAAAGAAATTACAATTCACTAGTCCGTCAACAGCTTATCAGGTAAAGTTCTTCATAACGTACTTTGATCTATTTGAAATTAGTTTTATGCTCCTCTTGTCAACCCTAACCCTAACATCCAAAGCAGCAGAAGGAAAGGTTTGTTGAAGCCAAAGTCATTATGATTTATTGATTTGCTTATCGCTTACGCAATAATGAGGCATTGGCCATTGGGGGCGTGGCCATTGGGGGCATTCGGAGGTCAACATGTGCTTTCTCTAGCTTAATAGATAAAGTTGTTAACAGCAATCAAATCGACTCTAATTCTATTATTATATCTGTGGTTGCTTTGAGTTCTTCAGTTTATTTATTTATTTAATTTAATTTTCAAATGATTGTGTTATAGCAAGAATTGAGATGATTTTTTTCCTGTTTCATTTCTGTAGAATTCTTCATAATTCTTAGCCATTAACAATATTGTGATTGTTTTCCACCAGAACAAAATACTGTAGGACAACACAGATTTAAATCACGAGAGTTCTCATCATTTCATCTCATTATTAAAATAATAATAATAATAATAAACGAGTTTTTCTTTTTTCTCACAAATAACATAATGAGATTTCATGAGAAATATTAGCACAAATAGCATAAGCCTACAACTCTTGTCATAGTTTTTTATCTCGCAAAATAACGAAGTAAAACTCACATTCAAATGTACAGTAAACGTTACGTCAGATCCATGGCTTGGGCACTTGGGTCCAAGAGGACTTATCTGATCATAGTTAACTGTTATGCAATGAAAATGGCAATGCTAGAAATCTCACCAGATTTACTCGCTTGAGTTTGCAAGCCCCACCATGTTGAGCATGTGTCGGTCCTCCTTAAATCTCTCTAACACTGTACGTTTCATAGCACCATTTTTTTCTTGCTGCGCTCCATTTTGAACAATTCCCCAGCATTCTATCACTTCAGGGAAAATGCGATTTGACTTGGAGAGGCAAGGACTACCAAACGTGGTGCAAGTGAAGGTATGACCAACATCAAAGCTTGCTGAGAGGAACAGGCCAAAGTGATTAACACGTCCTCCAAAACCAATACCATTTGGGATGGACTCTGAGCTAAAATTCGCAGCACACTGTCAATCCAAGGATGTAAGCAATGTCATTTTTATTTTTTATTTTTGGATTTATACAATTTTCATCCAAAGTGGCAAACATAAAGGTAATGGTAGCATTAAATAAGTAATGTTCTGAACAAGAGATTAAATCAATGCCGGAATAAGCTAACATGAGAATCCTCACATCTCAGAGCTAAAAATTACTTTCACTCATGTCTAAAGGTCCACAAGTTCCAACTTCTCCAGCAAACAAGTCAAGAGACGAAACCAAGTAAGTTGGTGACTAGGTTGTGGATAGCATTAATGAAAAAACATTTCCATGTCTGAATTCCAGGAAAAATAGACAACGGATTAACATTAGGATAAAAATATACAGAACTATCAAGCCTGTTAATCTGAACTTTTTTCTGCAAATTTCTATTTTATCTCCAGCTGATAAAAATGATTATGCAAGGAATATAGCACACATAAATGAAGCTTGAGGTGTAAAACATCTTTTGGACTCTAAAGACCTTTATAATCCATAAGATTCATGTTGCAGTCATCTGTCTCCTGTGAATCCTAGCTTCCCCTGCCCCACCCCTACACCCCAAGGCAATCTTAGTTGCTTCTTCTTGTGAATCCAGATTTGGAACAGCCACTGCCAACTATCATGGCAGTCACATGGCACGTAAACCAGTTCAATTTCACTTGAATCATCTTGAGGTGAAACAACCTGACAGTAACCAACAGATATAGACAACAGACAAAGCCAAACAGCAAAATCAAGAAACTGAGTCTCTGTTTGCCCAATTTCCTTCTAATTTACTAGAGTGTTAACCACCAGTTTTTTGGGATGTTGATGCACTAAAACTTCTTTTGACCTTACAGAAGATATTGATACTCTCAAGCCTTCATATCCAACTGCCATATGCCAAAGCAGAAAGGGAAAATCTATTTGCAGCATCAAAACAATAGGCAATGCCTATAATCCTATATTCTTAAAATGATTATGCACTTTTCCCTTTATTTCCCAACAGATAAAAATAAATGGAAACATACCCATTGTACATTATTGTTTGCTCCAGTGGGCTTGAAAATTGATGCCTTTGGGTAAAGCTGAAAGAGAAATGACTTCAGATCTCCATAGAAATCACCATGCCTCTCCCAAGGTTGAGAAGCATAACCTCCATATATGTAGCCTTCTTTATCCTTAGCAATCAATATCGTCGGCCCTTCACCATTTCTGCAATTCAATTGAATAATTACCCATCCCACTCCTACTTACAAAAAAGTTCCAGCAACTGACAAACTGAAATAAAATTAGAGTACTATCATTTGCACTGCATTTATTTTCCAGTGAAAAAATCAGAAATTAAAGAAGAAAAAAGCGAGAAAGCAAAACATCAAGACACCATGGAATATTAGCAAGACATAAAAAAAATGCAAGCACCGATCAACTTATATAAATCTATTTTGGCACAAACAGCTTGTAATTTTAACTAAAGTCAAACTGATAACATGAAGATGGTGTCTGGTTGGAGCACCCCTTTCAAGTAAAAGTAGGAATGTAGCTCCTCTGGCCTTATGCTGTCTCTCTGCTGGCAAGAAATGACTGCCATTTTCAAGGCTTTCACAAACTAAACAAGATTCATTCTCTCTGAGCACACCCAATCTGAACCTTGCTGCACCCATACCCCATGGAACATTGGAACCCAAGACCTCCTTGCAGAAAAATTTAGACTGTTCATGATAAGAAACTGACTTCTGAAATTGATTAAAATTAGGAACAGATGGTGAACCAATGAGTACTATAAATCAGAATCAACTTGATTTGGGAGTCAAGAGCAGGTAGAAAATCTCGAACCATTAGTCAGTGCAACAATTAGTAGTCTTCTTGTGCAAAAAACTCAGATGATTTACACATCAATCATATTAATGAATGAGAGCAAGCTACTCACGATATGCTTCCCAAGAATGTATTGAAGCTCAGGCCATTAATAGCACTATGGTACAAAAGTTTCCACTCCTCCAGCTCCTGGTGAGGAAGGGCTCCTCCTATATGCCAAGCATATTCCTCCTTCAATAATATCAAATCAGGATCAATGTTATCCCCGTACACCAATTTAGGAACTTGGGAACCTGGCCTTCCTGCATAACAACTTCATGATAAAAAAAACTAGAAGAACAATCATAATTCATCTTTAATTCACTAAATTGAATTATGATAGCCAAAAATATTTGATAGGGTCTAACAATAGTGTAGCAATGATGGAAGGAAATTGTGCCAGTCAATAATTGAATTTGACTATGATGAAACTCAGAAGAAAAGACATATTTTTTCTATTTATACAAATGATATAGATCATCCTTCCAAATAATTCTGTCCAGGCATCTAATTTGTGAAAATAAATTATTTATATGATTACACCAGAAACCACCATAGAAAGTTGAAACTTGGATTTGGTTATATTTTTCCTTGTCTAAAAAAAACAAAGCATTTTGCTGCAGATGGACTGAAACAATTAGTCAGTATTTTCTTTCACAGATCTAAATAAAGAATGCAGAGATCAGAATGATTAACTTTATAAAGGAAATCCATATATCCCACTAGTAAAAAGCCACCATGTTCATCAGCCAAGAAAACAATTGAGTAACTCTACTTCATCTAGGTCATGATTTTTGAAAAAAAAATAACAGAAATGTTTAAGACAGGTCAATCCTCGAAACAGGATCAATTTGCTCTCACTATATTTGCTCTTAAGAGAGGATACTGATATGTACGAGTATCAAAACTAAAAACTATATGAATTACGTGAACGAAGAACGATAGAAAACCTGCATCAGGTGGTATTAACAAACTTCCAAGGAACTTCCTGACTGATGGGAGAAGAGCACACCAACTTCTGAAATCCTCAAAAGACATACTTTTCTCAGCTGCTCCTTGAACATCCTTTGAAAAAGTTGCAGCATTAAGAAATACATCAATAATGTCGTGATGTGAACTCGATCCACGGTCAGAAACTTCCAGGGAAAATATACTCTGCAAAATTGCAGCTAGGACAGATTCAATATCACACCTGACAACAGACTGCAGGTGTTACATACATCAACAAGCACAGAAAAGGGAGTAATACTACAAATGACAAAAAAAAAAAAAAAATACCACTACCTAAGTTCACACTTAAATACAGAAGGGGTAATTGTATAATTTGCATGCATTAAATCATTCTATCGAGTAAAATCAAAGAACGTTAATTACATGCGCACACACACGCATGCAAATTCATACATACAGAGCTAGTAAATAGAAAAAAAATTACATTACCTCCCCACAATGCCATCGCTTGTTACATCAAGTAATTGATAAATAAACTCTTCAATATCATCTCTTGTTCCTTTCTCATAAACACTCTGCAACACCAAAAAAAAAAAAAAAAAAAAAATTACAAATACAAAAAAAGTGAATACATACAAGTCATAATCACGAAATAGCCACAAATATGAACACACAGATAAAAAGTTCCAAACTTTAAGCCTTACTTTAGCAATAACAAGGTCATGGAAGGTGAGCTTGTTATCTTTTCCTTGTTGGGTAACTAAATCAAACAATCTCTCTCCAAGAGAACCCTTTAAACCAAAATAAGCCTAAACCAAGAATTTCTGTCAACTTCACCGTTGAATTAAAACGAAAACCAAAAAGTGAAGGAATAAAAAAAACAAAAGGGACGTGAAATTTTCTTTAAAAAAGAAATGACCTGAAAAACAGAGAGGGATATGTATTCATTATTGCTCTTTGATTGGGCAGCCAAAGATACAAACAACGATTGGAGGTCTTCAAGTTCCTTTTGAGTAAATGCTCTGATTGGTTTAGTAAAAAAGCAATTAATCAATCAGAAAATACATACACATAACAGAGGGGGTTTATTTTAGAGAAAGAAAAACCTGGTGGCAGAAGAAAAACGAGGATCTGCTGGAGGTGACTGAGAGTTACCCATGGCTAGCAGCTTTTCCTCCGTGTTTCTGGGAATTTATTTGCAGTTAAACAGGTACTTAAATATGTTTTTGTCTTTGTACTATGTATTTGCTGTCTGGGTTGATAGTTTTTTACTTTTTGCATACGTGCTCCTTTAACTTCTGGTAATATTACAAACACCCCTTTTTTCTTTTCTTTTTAACTTTATGGTATATCATTAAGAAAAATGATAAATTCAACCAAAAACAAAAAAACACGGCTTAAAAAAATTAAAAATTACATAAATTATATACCCGTTATTGTGTGTATTTATATGTTATTTTTTATTTGGATCTTGTGAAGTTTAGTATTGATCTATTATCAATATTAACAATAATTGTAATGATAATGACTTAATATTTAAAATAAAAAATAAAATTTTATTTGAAACTTGTGAAGTTCAACATTGATCTATTATTAATATTAATAATAATTATAATGATAGTGAATTAATATCTGAAATAAAAAATAATATATTTATTTATTCAAATTTATATCTATTTATAGATATCTTAATATTGCAATTTCTTATCTAACATTAAGTAATTTTATTCTTGTATATTATTTTTTTTTAATTTCATAAGCATCCTATCAAAATTTTGTAAATTTTTCTTTAATTTAGAACTTAAAAAAAAATATTTTGATTTAAGTGACATATTTCTTTATTAGTAAAAATCAATTATTCAACTTGTGAGTTGATAAAAAAAATATTTTATGCTGTTGATAAATTTAAGTTTGAGTTTCGCTTTCTATTTATTTTATTGTACATGAAAAAAAAAAAAAAAAGTTAATACCAGAAAATAAAGCAGTGATATGTAGGGTGAAATTTATAAATTTGTAAACTAGAAGATGTGTGTCTCAATTTTCAACCAATCCGTATGGGGTCAAAAGATAAATTACGAACACAAACGCCTAAAATAGAAATAAATAAAACCCAAAACTTAGTAGAAATTGTAATTTGAAGTTATTCATTTCCTTGTACTCGTTGCCGATTCCAAGTAAAATGATGGTAAAACAGAAACAATATCCGACTAAGAAAGCCCATTTATACTTATCCTTCTCTCACTGAACTTCGATCTGTAAGTTTCATTTCTTTACTTTATTTCCCTTCGATCATTTGATTATATACTTATATTTGTTTTACATGATAAAAAACAGATTATCAGTGTATAAAAAGTGCTGCTTGCTTTCTTGTAGTAGTAAAGGATGACAAGACCATGGGTACTGGTCTTTTTGCTTTTGTTTATTGTGTTCACGTCTCAGTTAGAGTGGAAACAACAATTTGGTAATGAAATTGAAGCAAGTCCAAACATTTCCCAGAAAGACCAACAACAACATAGTTCAAAACGAGAACTTGTCAAAGAAAAGGTTAGTTTTTTTCTTCTTCTTTTTTTATTACATTCGGTGTTCTTTTAGTGGTGTATTTGTAGAACCAGAAAAGATAAAAGAAAGACCAAGTTGGTTTTTTTTTTAAGTGGGAATTGAAGATTTTGTTCTGTGCATTTATACAAGCATTTGATCAAGTGGGTTCTATTGAAGTATATAAGAAAGCTTCAATTTTTTATTTTTTTTTGGAAAGTCTGATTCAGTGTTGGAGTTTCAAATTCGTAAGCTGAGGAAATATAATAGTGTTAACTAATTATACTGAGTATGTGATATGACTGGTGATGCAGTTTTGATGAGAGAGAGTAAGAGGTAGGGAAAAAAATGGGGTTTCTTTTTCTTTTTCCTTTTTATTGCATTTTGGTAATCGGAAGAGTGTGAAACATGATCTCTTGCTTTTCTTTTCCTTCGAACCCAAATGTTGGTAAACTGAGTTTCGTTTTTGGATTGACGTAGTTCACTACTCTACTATAGTGAGAAATGCATTTCTTACATAAGCAGAAGATGAAGTTTGGAGCCTTGAAATTTCTGAAAAAGCTTTCAGTGTCGGATGAAGTTGCAGTAATTCAAGTGGGACTTTGTAATTCAAATATTGGGGCAGATCAACTATTTAATCTTTTTTTTTCTGGGCTAGCAAGTGTTAATTTGCAATTACTGTTATCAAAAGATTGATTACCTGCTTTCTTAGGGACTTTAGTATCACCCTAACTCACAAAATTTGGTGCGTATGCAATCATTGTGATCATTGTTACGGTCAGTAATTTGAGCATTGATTCACATCAAACCAAATGCAAAATGGTTAAAAGTAACGGCAAATTTAGGGCTTATGAAAAAACTTTTAAGAGGCCATATTTGTTTTTGCCAAAGACATGCTGCATATATACTGTAGCCCATAGCATCTTTTTGAAATGCCATGCAGGTAACAAGAGGCAGTCACCTATTTTAGCATGCCTCTGCTGATCCTATCTTTTTGTCTCTTCCATTTCTGATAGTTTGTTTCCTGACTTCCCTGCTACTTAATAGTCTCAGACTGCCATCTGCTTCTGCATTCATTCCTTCTCTAGGACTGTTACTGTCAACGAGGTTTCGAAATGGATCAACTCCTACATTGGCTGGGATTCAAATATATCCGTGTGCTGCTAATTTTGATCTGAGTTTTGTCTGTCTTCAATCAGTATTGTTGTTGTTGTTTTTCTTTTGTTCCTCCTCAATGCCTTATCAACATTAATGGTATTGTTGCTCCTATCCTCATTCAAAGCAAGTCAGTGTTTCTAAATAAATTAGACTTCAAGAAGCTGGATTTTTCTGTTAGACCTTAATAGCCCTCGTTGTCGCTCTTCCTCGAGTGAATCCTTTTCTAAGTTCCTTCAGATGTTTACAAAATCAGCCTTTGATTTGTGTTTGGTTGTTGGTATCCTGATTGATCAATTAAATTGGAGAGACTTTATTGATTTTTACCTTGCTCTTTTCAACCCAAAAAGTTATATAGTGTCGGTTGTCTTTCTTTCTTTCTTTCTTTTTAAAACAATTTGTCACAGTCCATATTCTGCATGTACCAGGATATGAAACACCTATTAATTGAAAGGCCTTTGTTGACCCACCGACTGGCTAGACCAGTTAGTTGTGTATGTTCCCCTTCCCCAAGGGTCTAGCGTTCAGCCCAGCACCCACCCCCACAAAGTCCAAAAAAGAAGAATTTAGTTGACATCATAATAGTATTCTCCAAATTGGCCGTTAACTCCCTTGTGTAACCTATATTTGTTGCGTTCGCTTTGTTTAAACAGTTTATAACATCTCAAAAGTATCTTAACCTGAAACTTTTTTTCCTTTCATTATCTTGTCTGACTAAAGTGTTTGATTGTTTAGATTTTTCATCTTTATGTCATAGACATTGGGCACCATGTGTCAAGATTTTGCTTATTTTTAATTGGAGTTTTGTTTTCATCCAATCAGTTATTGTTGTTTTTATTTTGTTCCTCTACATGCCCATATTCCCTTTTCGCTAGAAATGACGTTCTTGCTTCAATCCTCATCCAGAGCAAGTACAGTTATCTGAACAGTTATCCCTCCTGCCCTCCCTATCCTTTTTGAAATCACTCTCAGTTACCTCAGTTCAAAAGGTCAGTATCTTGGTATTTGGACCAGCACCAGCTTTGGTGATTGATATATTAAATGAAGATATATGATTGTTTTTACCTTGCTCTTTCCAACCTGAAAGCTTATGCATCATCAAATAAGATCCACCTATTAGTACACTTTGAATTAAATTTTATTTTCGTCAGTCCCCCTTTCAGGTTGAATTGTTGAACGGACTGAAGATTTTGGTTGACATGCCTTTATATGTCACTTCATTTGCAGATGAGTGAGGGCTATCTAAGTAGAAGGCATTTAATTGACACCATAAGGGTCAATTCCCCTTCAGGTGCGGAAGAGATTGTGTTGGATTGATTGGAGACAGTGGATGCTTATCATATTAAATGCTTAAAATCTCAAAAAATGTTGTTGTTAATTTACAAGTGATATGGTCAGAGATGTTAGTTGCCTATACCATTCCTCATTACCATTATAACATTTTACATTACAAAGATGTCCTGTAGTCTAGTCAGAAAACATTCTACGTTCTTCACTCATTATTTTCCCCCTTACCGATACCTGTGAATCAGTGATTTGAGATGTATTTGATTTACATATATCTTCATATGGAAGTTTTCTTGTTTTATGTGTACGATCCAAGTGTTGGATTGCTGACTAGAGCTCTCATTCTAAACATTCTATACTATCTCAAAAAATAACTTCATATAACTATTTTTTCCCCTTTGATTGTCAATTGTCTTTCATTGTTCAGGATATATATATTTCGTGATCTAGCTGACTAGTTTGTTTGAGTTGTTAAGAGCTTTCATCATTATGTTAGACATTAAGTTCAGCCAATCAAGATTTTCCAGCATTATGTATAAATGGTAATCTTTTGGCTATTAACTTTGCTGCAGATAATCCTCTCTCAAGAGAAGAATATTCAGAAACTTAATGAGCTTGTCCAGAGTCTCCAAGAACAGTTGCAACACTGTAGGAGTGAAAATTATGTTCTCAACAGCACTGCAATCCCTTTGACTGAACATCTAAATGAGCTCGATAAGCAACCACTATTGGAGGACTAGACATGGACCATACACATTTAACATTGATATGTTTGGTATGTGCTTGTAGACAACCCTGGTGTTTCTGTCTCAGAAATTTAACTGCACTAGGAAATGATCCCTGTTATTTTATCTGACTCATATAATACAAATCACTATCCACATTTTCTCATGTTAATATTGAATTGATTGATAAAGCCTGTATACTATTCTTCACTCATTTTGGCTGAGATCTTTTACATTCTGCAATCAATCTCATTTTTTATTCTGTGATTGAAATCTTAGAGAAAGAAGTGGGTAGATATATGCCACTTTGGAGTGCAAGTAAATAATACAGCTACATTGTACCATCACAATTAGGGCTTATTTAAGTTAACCTGAGTGTTTATCTAAGAGCATTGGATGTTAAATTGAAGGGACCATATCTCATCAGTCATTTCAAATTCATTTTATTAGATCCTATGCAATTGAAATTAAAAATTATAGATTTTCACTTAAACCAACAACCGTTATGGTTTCTAGAAATTTGATGCAAACGTGGTTCTGAATTGGACTAAAGGAGCTGATGGGTTGGTTTTAATTTGAAGTTAATGAAATGTGCCATTGTCATCTAGGATATGCATATTTCTAACAACTTCTACTATAGGGTTGGGCATTAATACTATTTGTTGGACTTGCACATTCAGTTGCATATTGGATTCTTTTCCAGTTATTATGCTCCAAAGAAAGTTGATTGAGAGGTGTGTCTCAAAAGAGAAAATCTGAAGGCAGCATGTTTAATCTTTTGTTTTGGTATTCAAATTTCAAAAACTTCATTGAACAGGAATAAATGCTATAAACTGCCCGTTGAATTTAACCTTAGAGACAAGCAACCATCTGAACAACTTTTATTCCAAGGCCAACAGTTGATTTCATGATGCTCTATTGATTTATTGTAAGATTCGAAATTTCATGCTTTGTTGTTTCCTACCAATCAAGAATTACTGTGACCTTACCTACCTTTACTTGCTCTTGTAACTCAAACTTTATTATTGTACTTGCGCATTTAATCTCTATGGTTGTTAATCTTGGTACTATTTTTGGTATACTTATATCTATATTGTTTAATATTTCCATTCTCCACCTTCCTTATCTATATTGCTGAGTATTTCCATTCCGGACCTTCCTTATTATTGTCCTTAATATTTCCATTGCTGTTTGGAGTGCTGCAATAAATTATCTGAGGGGACGTATGGTTTGGTCTGTTGCTCTCTTGTTTCAGTTGAGTGAATAACATAGTTGTGATTTATGATCCTACTGCTCTGAATTGAATGAGCCCATTTAATATCACAGCTGATCTTGCCAATTGGCTTTACCAAATTCCTTCCAAGTTAGTTTGCATAACATCCTTCTTGGTTCTGTCATAATATCGAAGATATCTAGGTTGTCTTCAAACAGGTTATGATGGAATTCAAACTTCTTTTTCCGCTAGGAGATTAGGAGAGGCGTATAGTTTAGAATCTTTCTAATTGGTCTCCAACATGGCAGTTTGTTCCAAGCATTTAGAAACTGAACCTTCTTTGATCATTATAGTTCTTTTGAAAACCGAAGTTTGATTTATGACATTGGATCGTATATGATTCTTTTTTAACATGCTAAAACAATAAAAGAATATGGACGTTCTTGTTTTAGGGTTCAAAACGAAAGTGTGCTTTGGCTTCTAGTTTGTCGACCAACATCCTGGTTATGTTGATGTCTATAAATTGATGATATAGTTGAATTCTAACTGGTTATTCTGTCTGGTGTCTTGTAATCTTGTTACTTTAACCCTATTGGTGGGAACCTAACTTCTAGTTGCATCGTACTTACATGCTTAGGAATTGAAGGCAAGGGTAACCTTTCCCAATGCCAAACTCCAAGCCTTGGCGATGGACTTCTAATCTAACCACCAAAAAACTTCGCAATTTTTCAGCTTCACGGTGATCCACAGCTTGAGTCAAACAAGTTAATCTGGGTGCGATAGCTTTAAAACTAGTATTCTCAGGTGAATTGTGCTAGTGCAATGGACGAAAGCAAGTTCCACCGGCTAATATGCTGCCCAATCTCAGAATCTTTTGTGCTCGTATAACTATTTGCAATATTGAATTCCTATACTTCTAGTTAAAACAATTTTCCTTGGCTATAGGCATTGTAGTAAGTTAACTAAGAAAGAAAGAAAGAAAGAAATGATCTTTTATTTTAAATTTTGTTCATCAAAAGGTTTAAAGGGCTTGACTTAAATAATGAGGGCTAAAACATGTAAAGACTCTGAACTATCAACTGCTTTGATTGAATCCTTTTTTTTTCTTTTCTTTTGGTTTTAATATCTGAACTATAGGGTATTTGTACTAGGACTTTTTATGGTAAGTTTCAACCACTATTAACGACCAGATTACCACCAAATGAAGGGTTTGATTAACGCAAGTTCATCCACACGAATCTTAAACCTAACCATCATCTTGGATTCTGAGTGTTTTAATGTTTGGAGATTTCATGTGGAAAAATTAAAGCTCGAATTAATTTGAGTTTGAAAATGAATTTTGACATTGAAATGTTCTTTTTGGGGTTAGAATGGTGGAGTTTTTGCTGTGAACGTTGATGGAAGGGATCCCAATTCAAACACCTCATGATTCATGCATTAAAATAAAAAGAAAAAATATATATAAGTGCAATAAAAAATATTAATAATTCAGGAAATTTTATATGGTTTGGGCCACAATGGTAGTATCCCACCTCTTTTACATTTTATTATTATTATTCAATAATAAAAAGTATTTTTAGGTCAGTTTGCATGTTAACTAAAACTAAGTTTATTTTTCAAATGAGTATTTTCTATATTAGACCAATGCATTCGAAAGAGTTTAATAAAAAAATTAACTTCCAGTTCCAAGTTTTAAATTAAGAAAATAAATAAAATATACCTTCTTAACCACCACGCCAACTTCTTGAAATTCTTCCATTACATTACAAATCCTATATGCAAACTATTACAAACAAATTATTGGATACATAACTACAGTGCAGAAAAAAATAGATGGGCTCCCTTATCATCTTCCATGAGATTTTTAACAGAAAGAAACTCTGGATCAGTCTTTTTCTCTATGCCTTCTAATCAAATTAATGATTTCAAGTACAAAGGTGAAATGACCCGAAAGTAGGGAGATCAATTGATGTGCCGGTCCCCAAAAAAAAAAGTATACATATCTATATATATATATATATTGACGCATCGAGAATTAATTCCACATGTTGTTTTTCACCAAACAAGGGCATCAACTATAAATTATAACAACCTCACCCACCCAATGAACCTCCAAAGAATTTCTGTTATGATTTCTGATGCAATTATATCAGCAGTTAGCAGTCCGTTGAATAAAACAGGACCTGTGATGGTGCAATTTCAAACCTAGGTAGATAGCCTCGATCCAAATCAAATGCTATTTCTCTCGAAGTATTCCCTCTTTGCATTGCCAAATTTCTTTTAATGCTTCAATACTAAGTTGCCATCTTTCTTTGCTTATTAACTGTTGCTATTAACTTTTCATTCTTTTGTACTTTTAAAATAGGCTAAAATCACCTCATATTCTTATACTAATTTTTTTTTTTTTTGTTCATCCGAGTATCTCTCTTCAATTCTTGTACAAACCAAATTCTAAACTTAAAAAGTTCAAAAACGATACTTAGTCCTTCCATGCAGTTACGGTAACGACATCAATTAACTTATGTCTATCCAATTATATGCTGACATGTGTCAATTCACACTTGAAAATATAATTTCAGAAAGAAAATCTTTTCTAGAAATTAGAAATAAAAAAATTAATTATTTAAAATGAAAATTAATAATAAAAAAGGATAAAATGATTGATTTTTTTAAAAAAATAATTATTATTTCTAGAACATTAAAAAGTAAATTTTCTTGTTTATTTATTTTTCATTTTTAAATAATAATTGATTTTTATAAAAAGATTGATTATTTTAATAAAATTATTATCATTATTCAAAATTTTAATTAATACGTAAAAATAAAAAATAATTTTTTTATTTTTGTTTATTTGTTTTCGTTTGGAAATTAAATTTCAGACGTGGATTGACACATGACAACAATGGATCGAATAAAAGTAAGTTAACTGGATAACAGAATTGGATAAAATTATTATCCTGGCCAACTTTTTTAAAATAAGATTTGGTTTGCATCAGAATTCAAATGATCAGAAATTAATAATATAAGGACATGGGTTGATTCTCACCCCTTGTAAAATTCAAGGGCACCCTTCTCGTGGAAAAAGCCAATGCTCACTCATCCATAGGTCACTGCTCACTAATATTTGATCATTATTTGAAAGAAAGACTTCATCACCTTAAAGCCTGCCTACCTACCTACTTGTAGGTAATCAATTAATGAGCTTTCGCCAAAATAAAAAAGCGGGAAATTAAAAGGATAAATGAGTAAATGACCGCTAAGGCTGGAGGCCTGCACCCTCATCCATAGGTCACTGCTCACTAATATTTGATGCCAACATAAGTGTAACTGCTTGAATTTATTTCAAGAATAATCGTAATTATTCTTTGGTGTGGAGAGACTTTACTGTTTTTTTTTTTTTTTTTTTTTGGGACCCTCGTTAGCATCGCTATTCTTTGTAGTACATGATTTAATTACTAAATTCATGGCCAATTAAGCCTGGGGCCTTTTCTAGTACTCGATTTTTGTAAAAAGCCATAAACAATTTTCACATGGCAATGGGCATGGGCCAAGAATTCAAGTAGGATCAATAATTGTCTTCTTGTACGCCATTATGTTAAAGTTCTCTGTTTTATTGGTAGCTAGACCATAACCTCTATCGTTGCGTGAGTGACTTTAAAAAAATCTAATTTATGTATAATAAAAATTATAAATATTAATTTAAGATATACTATAGTAGACATAAAAATATTTATAGATTTAATTCAATAAAACAAAATATATAAATTATAATGATAAATTAGAAATAATATTTGTAATTAAA